GGCTAAAAGTAGCATTCAGTAGTGAAAGTTAATCTGTGTCCTTCACGTATAAGACACAGGTAACTTTTCAGAGACCAAATTTAGGGAAAAAAGTGCGTCTTATATGCCGTCAAATACGGTAATTTTAGTTCTACATAGTTTTTTTTCTCTCGTTGTAAACTAGTTCTGTAAAATTCATATAGATTGTTCATAAAAATTTTAATAAATATATAAACACGTGCACACACATATACATACATACATAAAAATGGAGGTCTATGAACAGAAAAAAAAATAAACATTTAAAATTCTTTTCTTTTAATGTCTTGGTTTGCAGTTTTCACAAAATTTTAATTTGGTAACATAATCTGACTAAAGTGAACAATTACTGTTACAAGACGGATCACTTTCGAAATGCTAACATATACCTTCTTGAAAACTCCCAAAGGGCAGAGTTTTGACAGTAATTGATACTTTTACTGCTAACACTAATCAGTTCGTGTGATGAATTTCTGCACGTGTGGGGGTTAAAAAAAAGGGTTCTAGGAGAAATGCCACAGGAAAAAAGCCGACAGGAATAATGCTCACAGGAAAAAAGTCCACACAGAAATATTCCCATATAGAAAGATAAAGAGATAAGGCTAGCTGAAACTAGTGGGAACATTGGTTTGCATACTGAAACAGATTTCTAATTTTAGAAAAGATGTTTAAAGGAAAGGAAATTTATATAAACTCCCCAAAATGTCTGGGAAATCTTTAAGTTAAAAAGATGCATTAATATTTTGTTGAGTGTTGTTGCTAAAAATCTAATTGTTTTGTAGCTTTTAATATGTAATTTTCCTGATATCATTTAAGAATCAATGTCATAAATTATATGCTTTTTAACAGTAAAGTGTTATTAAATTGTGGTTTTAATAGTGCTTTTTAACAAATATTTAAAAAAAATTAATAAAATTTAATAGTGGTCATAAAAATCTATAATGACTAAGGGTATATAACTATCTAATTTACTTATTTATAACTAACTGCTTACCCTTAAAAATTATCTCTGAATTAAAGCAAGTTATTGCCTTTCTTTAATCCTTACTGTGGTCACAAGATTCGATACGAAAATGTAAAAATTAATGTAAAACTTATTTTTTTCATCCCGTGAGACTTAAAATAATGCAAAACAACTTATCACCTCTAGTGCTTTAGTGGCTTATTGGAACCTTGAAGTATATTAACTGAATTTCAACTGCAGGAACTCTATACAAAGCTACAATACTATTTGTATCATTCATAGTTTGTAAAATTCTTTGAATACTTCAGATAACAATATTAGTCAAGTAATTTAATTTCATAGTTATCCTACATTCATGCTATTCATATACAATTATAAGTTATGAGCAATAATTTACATTTGTAAGTAAACGAGTATATTTATATTATTGATAGTCATTTTTATCAAAACAACAGGTTGACTGATATATGCTGAAAAAAAGTACTTTAATATTCAAAACAGTACATACAATATGTCATATTTCCCTCCCTTTTATTGCTAATTTTTCTATCTGAAAAGTGGGAGGAGAAAATTGTGTAAGTAATTTAATTTCCAAAGGATGCAGTTACAGTAAGAACATAAAAAATGAAAAGTAATCATTGATAAATTACAGGTAAACCACAGTATTATTTCTTTAACAGAAACCTAAATTCCAATAAGAATGCACAGAAGTGTTATCATTATACTATATAATAAGATATCCATTTCTTCATCTTTGTAATTTGAATCCCATCCATTTTTTTGTTTTGTTGTCTCTGCTGCTCCTTAGTTCTGAAATCATCTGTAACTAGTTAGAGAAGGTGAATGTGCAGCTGACTTGGCAAAATTGTACACTGGATTTGAGTTTATGTTTACTTTGCTGTGATTCATTAGTTCTTGAATTAGGCTCACATTACAGTTCAACAGTTGGAAGGGAAAGGTATGGCATGACCTTCACAAGTGGGTTTGTCTTTGTGAGTAAGATGGGAAGTGACCCTGGGGCTTGAGTGGCTGACAGCGGTGTCGGTAGTTGGTGCATAGCCAGATGTCCTGACGAAATAGCTTTGAGTAATAAGTAAGAAACTGTGAACTCCCTCTCGTAACCCTAATATTAAATGACCGGTGCCTAGGGTGAATGACACTGTGGTTATAGTGTCTTAACGGAGCCTCTAGAATGTCTGGCAATTTATAGAGTATTTTGCCTTACCCAACAACAGGTAATAGTGGGTGTTCCTTTTTTTTATAACTAAAAATTCTGCTTTTGCAGTTAAAACCTTTGAGGTAGACATTTTTTCTCAAAACAAGGAAACCCAGGGGAATTTGAAATCAAGCAGAGGAGCAGAAGTGAATCATCAGTTGAAGTAGAAATGACCTCTACCGAATTTACTCATCATACCTTCTGCTAACAGTGTAAAGGAGGAGAAATGAATCCTTCATGGAGTGAGGTAGAAATGACCTCTACTCAGGTTACTCAATCAACATCTGGAGAAGGACAGGAAGCTATTAAAAGCATGACAACCTCTCTAGATAAAAGCAAAATCAAATTGCCAAAGGTACTTGGGTTGAAAAAACCAAAAGGGAAAGGTGAAAAAAGGCAGTCTCAAAGAGTGGAGCAGAATACAGCCCCGGGGACTGCCAAAAGAGCTTGATCTGAAGGTTATACCTCCAAGGAGGCTCTTATGGTAGTCAAGATGGCTCAACTCATTGAGGGACATCCTGAAAAACGTTTATGGGAGGAATAGGCTGTTGACCTTGAATTTCTGATAATGAATAAAGTTGGAAAAAACAATATGGCCTTTGCCCCTATCTTCTTATCCTGCAGATTTGAGAATGGGGCATTCATTATCAACTGTGTAGATCTGGTGAGCTCTAAATAGCTGGAACAGACTATCAGTGAAATAATTCCCTGGCAAGAGCAAAAACTTCTGTGGGCAAATTGGCACAAAATGCTTATTCCTAACTAAAGGTGCCTGATAGCTGACCTGAAGAAGAAAAGATAAAAACTGTATGTGGATGAATGCATTTTAAAATTGTGCATTCAAAAAGGGAAAAATCACTTGAGTATTTTTTAAAAAATTTTCAGAATCTGGTGCTAAGATGGAAAAGTATCCAGGGGAAGTACAGTACATAGTAATATCTCTTCAATGCCGTTACATCATCAAAGTGTGCCTGTTCTTCACAGAAGTGTTATTCAAATTGTGGCTACAACTGTGAAAACAAAGTAGTTAATTAATGCCTGTATCTTCAATATATGTACGGCTCCATCAATCTACGTGCGCAACCTGGTATCAGCAAGTCAACTACACCGAATCCTTCCAAAACAAGTGTATTTAAAGTCAAAAATCCAAGCTTTGGAATTTAATCCAGCGTATGCAGTGATTTAATAAGTGCAACGTAATTCAAAAGCAATATAAAAATGTGAAAAAAAAAATCGAATCATAGATTTGCTGCGAGTGCTTAAAGATGAAATCTAGTGCAGGTCTTTCGAAATTAATTCAGCATTTGTTTACAGTAAAATGACAATGTTTTCCGAGTGCTAGCATTTCTAATCATTCCAGTGCTTTCAAGGTCATTGAACTGCATATCTTGATCTGTCTCTTATGTGAATAAATTCACAGTTATGGCATTAAATTTACACTTTAAGTAGATGCCAGAGAATTATTTTTGCTTCTGCTTTTGTGTAACTGAATCTACATTGGGAGCTGATATTTTTTTCCTTAATAAATTGGACATTGAAAATGAACACTGTGATATAAAGAAATATAATTTAATAATATTAGAAATTTGAATTCTAATAATTTAGTAAAGCAAGTAAAGAATTTCTAGATTTTTAATTATTTTTAGGTAAGGCTATTAAGATAAGTTTTTATATTTTTGAAATTTTGTTGAAAATTTTGAATATGAATTTTATAGTTATTCTAAATATAAAGTAGATGTAAAAAATAAGTGAAATTAGTACAGATAAGTAATATGAAATTATGGTAAATGCATGTTAAAATTTATGGATGTGTTAAGTATAGTTATATATGAGGGAGTACTGGTTCCTAAACAGAGGTCTGTAATTACCTCTATTCTGTTTCTTTTACCTTCTTCATGTAAGATAATTAAGTCAGGCTCTCATTTTATTAGTGTGTAATTTTTTTATATTATTATACTTCGTTTTTTATTGTGGAATGTATTAGTGCAGTTCTCAAAGGCCAGTTACCTTATGCAAGGAGCGGAGGCCTCTTCAAGCAACTGCTTAGGCACCCTGGAGCACCAGTGCAGAGAACACATAGTTTAGCTCAAGAGGACAGCCCTATTGATGGATATTGAGTACCTGCAAATTCGAAAGTGTGTAATGTTCAGGGTGAAATCTTAAGTCAAACTGAGTTAGTTTTGATTCTCAAAGCATTTTGATTGGATAGTTAATATTACTGTAAAATTATTATTGGCTGGAGTTTTAGTTCAATTTACATCACCAGAATTTACCACCCATGCATATATGCACACGTACACACACATAACCTCAAAATAATGAAAACATATATAAATCTTAAGAGGACAAATAGTGAATATACAAAATGAAACAAGAAAATGTGATTCTTTATCTATTGCTTAAGCTTCTGTGGTAATTTTGCATAACACAAGGTTTTGAAAGACTTATTGCATGCTGTACAATTATTTTGTATGCATCTTTAATGCATGAATTTTTACAGTATTTGTTCTAAGAGTTATTCTGCTGATTTGTTTGATTTCTGTGTTAAGCAAAAGCAAACTGTCATTGTTTAAATTTCCTTGCAGATATATTATGACATCATAAGCTCACAATTAATTTCGATAATTTGAATAAAGTATTGAAAGTTTATATATGAATTTGATTTAACATTTTCTAATATTGTTGTCAAATTAAACAAGGTATGCTATATTTTGTGTTATAAATCTTTTCTACTAAACTGTTTTGATGCTTTCTTACATTTGAAGAACTAATGCAATTGTAATTATTTTCTTACCTAATCAGGTTTTACGAGATTCTTCAAAGGCAAGAAGAGAAGTAGAGTTACATTGGAGAGCTAGTAATTGTCGACATATTGTTAACATAATTGATGTTTATGAAAATATGTATGGTGGCTACAAGTGCTTATTAGTAGTCATGGAGTGGTAGGTATCATGTTTAAATTGCCGTTACTGTTGCAGTAAAAAAATTTAATTAAATAGTAATTTAACTATCTAATTAGCATACAGCTTTGAATGTGCTCACTTCATAATCTTTTCCTCATTAAGATGATATTTACTTCATTTAAGAAAATGCACAAGCAAAATAGTTTTTAATTGTAAGCTGATATGTATCAATAGACAAAAAATCTTATGACCAGGTAAAGACAGTCATGTCACTCACGGGGTTAATAGTTGCAGTAATGAATGTATTTTTCTATTTTTATTCCCTTTTTTTTAATGAATTGCTCTTAATTTCTAAGAGAATTTTTGTAATTTTAGTAATATTTATTTGTTTATTATATTTTAATTTTTTTGTGTATGTTTTAATAACTTTTTTTTTTTTACTTTTGTACAAAGTAAAGGAAGTATTGCAATCCCGAAAAATTATGGGGTTCATATTTCAATGAAACTATCCATTTTGATTGCTATCGAATGTAATTTAATGATATCTTTGTGTGACATCTGTACATAAGGACAGAATAAATCTTTTTACCCAAACAAATTATGAAACTGATTTAAAATGAATTCAGAAGAGATGTACGAATGTATGTATCTCGCATAACTCAAAAATGAGTAGCCACAGAGCGTTGAAATTTTGTATATAGGACTGTTGTAACATATAGTTGTGAACCTCCATTTTTGGTTGCAATCAGCCTTACCAAAAGTATGTAAATACAGCGTGTTTCAAAAAGAATATACGTATTTCGAATGCATATATTTATTAAACTGTATGATATATCAATATCAAACTTTACACACATATATACAAACCTCTCAAGTTCAGATTACAGATGTTGATTATGTCCTCCATCAGCGACACGAACAATATCACATTGATACTCAAATTCCTCCCATACTCGGGCAAGCATGTCCGTAGTCACTGATGTTATGATAGTACGGATCCAGTTCTTCACCTCTTCCAAGTTCTGTGGGAGTGGTGGTACATAAATGTTATCTTTAAGGAAACCCCATAGGAAGAAGTCTCAGGGTGTCAAATTCGGTGACCTTGGAGGCCAGCAGAGACATGCTAAGTTACCAGCTCCTTGACGACCAATCCAACAGTTTGGTAGAGTTTCATTCAAATAATCACACACTTGCCAGCACCATTAAGGGGGGGGCTAGTCTTGTTGCAAAGTGAAGTTGCCTTCGTGCAGCCTCGGAAACAACCGGTTTTTTAACATAGTGAGATACTGCTGACCGTTAACCGTGTTTGCATCAAAGAAGAATGGGCCGTAAACAGATGATCAGGATATCTCACAAAACACATTGATTTTGGGCGAATCTTGTACATGTTCAGTGGCTACATCTGGATTCTGTAGGCCCCAAATTCGAACATAGTGTTTGTTTACATGACTATTAACATAAAAATTCGCTTCATCACTGAACACGATGCATTGTGCGAAAGTGTTATCATTGTCAATAGTATCAATAATCTCGTTACAAAATGCCACATGATTGCATTTGTCATCAGGATGCAGAGCCTGTAACAAATGTAACTGGTACGGCTCCATAATCAACCAATGTCTCAAAACATGCCAAATTGTTGTTGTAGGCAGTTGTAACGCACGACTGGCACGTCGAGTTGATTTTGAAGGACTATGTTGGAAAGCGGTTTGAATTTGTGCAATATTTTCGTCGGGAACATGAGGGCGGCCAGGACTCTTTCCTTTACATACACATCCTGTATTTACAAACTGTCGATACCATCTGCGAATGTTCCATCCATTTGAAGGATCGCTTTGGTACCTCAACTTGAAATGTATTTGCACCGTAATCACGTAATTGCACTTCGCAAACTCGAGAACACAAAATAATTTCTGCTGCGGAGTAGCCAGTTTAAACATGTGACGGTTACCTTGCAAAACAGAAGACAACTGACATCTAGCGGCTATTAATATAAACTAGACCATGTATTTGCTTCACCGATAACCGAGCCGAGGCGCAGTGATCAATTGTTTGGACAAAATAACACTTTATAATACAGTGGCAATTCGATGTACGAGTGCCCTAATATACGAGTGTTTTCAGATACAAGCCGCCGGGCGAGCGATATTTTGCTTTGAGATGAGAGCAAGATTTGAAATACGAGTTCTGGAAGGACCACTTTAACATCGTGATATGCCTAAGAATTATTGATCAGATCTGGCTGAGTGTTACAATGAGGACCTTAACCTCTGCATGGAAGAAACTGTGGCCTGAGGCTGTAGCTGAAAGGGCTGTTGAAGGATTGGAACCCAAAGTGTCAGTGGTAGAGGAGCTTGTTCTCTGGGAAAATCCATGGGTCTGGATGTGGATGAGAGAGATGTGAACGAACTCGTTGAGGAACAGTCTCAGGAGCTGACAACCGAGGAATTACGTGATCTACATTTGCAGCAGCATACGGAGGTTCAACGAAAAATTGGTTTTGAAGAGGAGCCTTAGATGGAGGAGGTTACCCCTATAAGACATATAAAGGAGATCTTGGGAATGGGAGAGAAAGTTGTAGAGTTCGTGGATAAAAATCACCCCGAAAAAGTTGTAACTGGTCGTGCATCGATTGTTCAACAACTTGCTTAATCATTTCCGCAATATCTGAAGGGAAAGAAACAAACCCCCTTGAACAGTTTTTTAATGATCTGCAAGTGAAAATGAGCAAGCGTGAGGAAAAGCAAAGACCAGTGACAAAAATTAAGCTTCCGTAAGCACTTCATTTTTTTTAATTATTTTTTTATAGAATATGGGTTATAAATAAATGTTTTCCTTGTTTTTTCTATTAACACTTAACAAAAACAACTGAGGTGGTGTTTTGGGAGCTGGAATGGATTAATGGCATGTCAATAAATTTTAGTGGGGAAAATTGCTTTGGGATACGAGCAATTTGTCATATGGGCAAGGTTACGGAATGAATTAAACTCATATGTCGAGGTACCACTGTACGTATATTCTTTTTGAAATACTCTGTATATGTACTCTGTTACTCGATTCAGTTTTTTATTCTTATATGTTGGTAAATGTGAATTTTTTGCTTTAAAAATGGTTGAGTTGTGTTTTTCTTATCTTTCGGTTAAGGTTTTTATGCCTCTAGTTAATCTACATGCAATAGTTGTAGAATTATCAACAATTTTTACAAGCCTAGTTTTTTTTTTACCATAGCAGCCATATTTGTTTTACAAATTGGCTATGGTAAAAACAAAAAAGTTTGATTGTTTGTTGTATATTTGTTTTACATTTTAAACTTAGCAAAATGGCAATTAAATCTGCAGCTTGAGTTTCTTTTTGCCGAGTGAAACCAAAAGTAAACTTTTAGTTTTGTGCACCTAAAAAATCTGCCTTTTCTGGTATCTTTATTTATTAAATATCATGTTCTTTGCACTTAAACCATTAAATTCAGTTCAACAGCAATATCGCAAAATATTTAAATGAGCATATCTATGTTTCCACTAATATTCTCGCTGGCGAGATAAAAAAGTTCCTCCCGTAGAGTTTGCCTTGATGGGATTTAAATATTGATTTAAATCAAAAATTTGTTAAACTTGACAAAATATAAAATAATAATAATAAAATCGAAATTGGGCTCCAGAAGCCTATAATTGAGGGAAAATTTCAGTAGGATTACGTTATCAAAATTGGTGGCTTTGTCCATGTTTTACATGCGAGAACATCATGCTTTATGCAGTTCTTATAATAATTATTTAAATATATACGGGGGATAATATTTTGGGGCGAACCTTGAAAGTGAGTGGACTTCAAGTGACCAAGCAATCTGAAACAAAATAATTGTGCTTAGGGAAAATGAAAAGTGAGAGGTAAAAAACCTAACAACCTTTGGGGTGACCTTTAAATCTAAAAACAAATCCTTTCAGGTTTTTTTTCTTTTTTCCACTTTTTTTTTTTTTTTTGTTTCTTCTTCTTCTTTCTTTTTTTTTTTTAATAGTATAATATTTAGGGGCCCTCAAGAAAATGTTTTATATAGAGGCCCAAGAGTTCTAGTTACACCACTGATTTCGTGAGCAAGGTCAGGGTGGGGAAGACTGCTAATTTCTTGTCATCACATTAAACATTTGCTGCAACATGTATGTGACATCCGTACGATATTCACATCCACATCACAAAGTGACATTTCTGTGACATTGTACCGTGGTCACAAATGTAATGTGAAGAAAATGCAACATTTGAGAGGTCATAGCAACTAATTGTGCTGTATGGGAAGCATGGATAATATCAAAATTGATTCTAATCTTATTGTATGGACAGGCATTATAGAAAGAAATTTTTTTACTAATAAAGAAATTGAAACTTACATTTAAAGATTCATCATATTCTAAGCACATACAACTGGCTGGCAATACGCATTTTTCACTGATGCAGTGTGAATTCTCTGTGGATCTTAAATTCTCTGCTATGCCTTTCAAATTTGCTTCAATGCTGTTCTAAATCTAAAAGTTTTGCCATTCTAATTTTGTGCTCAGTGTGTCACTAAATCTAAAACTTGCAATATCAGTTCTGTAACCAGAAAAATTATCATATTTTATAATTTTCATATTACTAAATAAAAATTAGCAGCTTTTTATACATTCTACTGCGTTTAGTTTATTAAATAACACAATCTTTAATTAATTCTAAAATGAAAAGGAAACGTGGAAGAAAGAAACTGAAAACATAAAGAGAAAGAAAATTATTCCTCAAAATATGTACAGTTATTATTATGTAAATTGCCCAATTGTTTACATAATTTCCCATTTCCATTACTATAATTTCCCATTTCTATTTCCTCACCAAAATGCAAATGACTTAGACAGTTTTTAAACTGAGGTTTTTGGAGTGTAAGACGAGTGTTTCTGACCTCCACTTGGTCCCTGCATTAGTTCCTGCAAGCTGTGATAATTTGAAATTATTTGTCTTTGCATTACTACTGCCGACATTTGAGTTTGTTATGACGATAGAGTTACTGGGCCAGCTTAAAATTAAATTAAGTTGTATAGGCTTCGACAACTAGTCGATATTTTTAGTTTCAATTTGACTCTTCTTGTTTAATTCACGAGCTGTAATTGATTTTGTTAGCATAAGAACACGCCTCTATGTTCTAAGTACTTTTTAAATAAGAAGCTTATTTAGACCTTTGTCTGACTATGTAGTTACTTTCAGGCATACCGATAATATGCTTCACATCTGCCAAAGTTTTTTGGACTATTTAACTTTTACCAGATCAAATAAACCCTCATAGG